GCCAGTCTTCCATTGACGTCAGCAAGAGCAGATTTAAATCTCCACAGCAGAATGCTCCCCAGCCCTGATAAATGGGTCGGGTAATTGAATTAGAAAACATTCTGAGCCATCAGCTAATTATGCTGTTTAGGCAATTGCTTTGTCCAAGTTTGTTTCATCTTCCATCCATCCACTGCATGACTGGCTCTCTCACTGGGAGGGTCCATGTCTTAGCTCTCAGGAGAGGGGGCTGTCTTTCATATCTCTTTGGTCTGGGCTGCCAGTGTTCCCACATGGTTGTACTTTGACTTTTATGTTGTAAGATTCTTAAATTTTAGGACCATTGATTGTATTAGTTTTAGAGACATTTGTTTTATTCTTTTTAAATACGTGGGGGCATATGCATACGACCTTGTGTGTGTGTATATATACTTATGTTATAAACTTGCTGTTCTAGTGGCCAGACCCTTATCTCCCTCATGAAGGCAAATAACAAATTTGATTTCCCTTCTTTCACAACAACCCTACCACTCGCCAGAAACTGAAAAGGTCACAGTCTTTAGTTAGCATATCAAAGCTATTGGTGAGAAAAATTTACAGAATGGCAGCTGTGGTGTTAAAGATGAAGAATTCAAATGAATTTGTTCTTTATTAAAAAAACAAAAACAAAAAACCCCAACACAAAATCTCATTCTAGTCCAGAAGTAGGAATGGAGCTAAGCATACTGAGTATTTTTCTCACTTCATCTTCTGGTGAAAATTGGTGATTTCATGTGCTAAAGATAGACAGTGTTGGCCTACTATGGATCACAAGTAGAAGTTGCAGGAGAAAAGCAATGTGAAGTTGGTTTGCCAGCCTGCTCCATTCACATCTAAGATTAGAGGACAAATAGACATTTTCTAGGCTCTTCCTTTAATTCCTCCCCCTACCCTCCCATCTTTGTCTTTTACATAACCTTATGTTCAGATCTTAGAAGTTGCTTTTCCCTCTCTTTATTGAGTACAATGCCAGAGGCCAACATCCTCTGTGGATGGTGGAGGAGTTAATAGTGAGGATGAGTTTTTTCCTTGACTAAGTAGGTACAGATGAGAAAGACTTGATCTTGTCCTCTCTGGTGGGGGGTACTGACATGTCTAAGTCAAATCCAAAGTCTGTCCTCCATGCGATACCTTCTTAGCCAAGGCTATATGCTTAGGAGAACGGAGAAGCATTTTCATAGCCACTTGTCATTTATTTCGAAGGACAAAAGATATCTCATCTTGTTGCCTAAATTGTTCCAGTAATGGGAGTAGAATGTCTGTCTCTTTTATTGTTAGTGTGGCTGTCTGTATAAGACATGTACCACTCTATTCTCTTCATGTGTGGCTTTTAGAACTACCTAATTATTCATCAGGCAAAGGGAGTATTGAGGGTAGTTTTTATTTTGCCCATAGAGTAAAGTCTAAATTACTGAGTTTCACATTCAAGCCCTTCCACAATTTAGCCCCTACTTTCCTCCAGTCCAAGCATTTTTTCAATTAGCAAGCATCAATTTTTCCTCCCTTCCACCTCCCCCTTCCACTGAAAAAAAAAAAAGACACCATTTCATCATAGAAGCATAGTCAAGCAAAACAAATTCCTACGTTGACCATATCCGAAAGGATGTTTCTCCTTGTGTGCATTAGTCCGTCATGTGTTACAATTACCAGCAATGTGCCAGATTATCTAAGAGTCCTCAGTTACAGAGGAGGTGCTGACCTTCATTGGTAGAAGGAGTTCCTTCATCTAGAAGAATCCATCCCTGTATTAGTGAAACCACAGGCCCAGTCCCTGTTCCTGTCCTTGTGTATAAGGTCCTGGACTAGACACTGGGGATATGGAGACAAGATGAAAAACAGTCTTTGCCCCTCCAGGGGCCTGTGTTCTGCTTCTCCAACCTTGTTGCCTACAACTAGCCCATGGGAACTTTCCACTCCAACTGATACGCTCATTGTTGCCTGGATACATCATATACATTCTTGCCTCATGCTTTTGGTCATGCTGTTCTTCCCACTTGGAATGTCTCCCCACCCTCCCCTTTCATGTTCCAGCTCACTTTCTACCTCCTCCTCTGGGAAGCTTTTCTGGACCATTTTAAAGTCGTAGTAATCACTTCTCTGAAATCTATAATACCCATTAGGTACTTGTTTGGCATCTGCTACTTTGTATTTATTATGTACATATCGAGGCCTCTCAAAAGATTGTTTAGGGCAGAGTCCATAGGATCAAGCTGTTAGGGGCCCTGGAAAGTGCTATCTAGTTCAACTTTCTAGTTTTTCAGGTGGAAAAAAATAGATTTATAGAGATTAGGTGATTTAATCGCACAAATAATAAGTGACACAAGCAGGATTTGGACCCAGATCCTCTGGCATCATGTCTTCTATCTCTTTGTATCCCCTAGACCTTGAAAAGTACCCTACAACTAATAAATATCTGTTCGTGATATTACATCCCATTAAACAACCCAGTATAATCTTTTGAAATTGGTTTTTGTTCTGCTTTAATCATTGCAAGCCTGATCTCTTCCTATTTTGGTGAGCTGATCAGGACAAGGTACGGATTACATTTTGTACTGATTTGTGTTTTGTGGAGTATGACATTTCAATAAAATGCCCACTTGTAGTCATGTGTACCACACTTGGGCTTTTAGGTATTTACACTGGCTTCCTGCCTTCCATGCTGACTCTCCCCTGAGCCACGTAGCACAGATAGAACAGATAATTTCTGGACAAACAAAAGTCTTTCCTCCTCTTGATCACCTTGGTTTTGATCTCCCAAGCTTAAAGCCCTTCCTTCTAAGAGCTCAACCTTTTCTTGTCTTTCTCTCTTCAGAGCCAGTTTTCTCTGTTAAAGCCTCCAGGCTGCTGATTGTTGGAGTTCTGATTGAGTAGAGAGTGCTGCCAACTCTCACGTTGGGAAGTGTGTGGGCCAAACCTGATAGCATTGTGTTTGGGCATTGCAGCAGTCTGCCAGACTCGGGGGGTTAGGATGCCAGTGCAAATGCCACACCCGCATTTATTAGTTTGGGATTTCAAGGAAGAATAGGCAGTGGCACATCCCTCATCCATGCCATTCAGTATAGCAGAGAAAAGGTTGCTCTCTAATTTGGTTTTTCTCAGAAATGATTGCTACAGGAAACAGTGGCTGATGTAGAAGGTGGTACGATATTTTTTTTAACTTAGTAATACAAGTTGTCCCTTTGGTGTGTTTCCATTCTTCAGAAGCTCCTCAGTTTGCAGGTTTTCCTTATGTTTCAGGAATTTGATTTAGCTTAAGTATTATTATGTTTCAGACTAGGTCTCCCTATCTTGCTTAGGCTACAATTGCAGCAGACACTTATGGCACCCCCTTCCCCAGTTGATCAGCATGGGAGCTTTGACCTGCTCCATTTCCAACCTGGGATGGGTTACCCACACTTAGGATTTAATTCAGACATCTGATAGGCTTAACATACTGTAGCCCAGAATTCCTGTTCTCAAGCAATCCACCGGCCTCAGCCTTCCCAGTAGCATGGCTTACAGGCATGTACCACCTTGTCTGACCAATTTAGCTCAATTAAAATAAATATTAATTATCTACTACATGCAAGATGAGAGGCATCGTATTATAGTAGGTAAAGGACTGATCTGGGAGTTGTAAAGACCTAGGTTCAAGTCCTAACTCTGACACACTGGCTGCATGACTATGAGCAAGTTACTTAACTTCTCAGTAGCCTAGGCTAAATCATAGGCTCCATCAGTATAAAACATTTTTTCAAGTAATAATTTTGTACATTAGAAAGCTCACACAAAAATTGAAATTTTGTAAATATAAGAAAGGTGATATAATGTCTGACCTAAGAGTCAATAATTGCCACTGGAGTTTATCAATTAAGGAGTGACACGGTTAGATCTGTGCAGTAGGAAAATCATTTTGACTGCTGAGGGGAGGATATATTATAGACGAGAGAGACTAAGGGCAGGGAAGCCAATGAGGAGGCTGTTGCAAAAGTCTAGTGCCAAGGTGACTAGAGACTTGATTTCAGTACTCAAAAGTACTCAAAAGAGCCTTACAAAATTCACCACGCAAGTGTCCTTAATTCTTAAGGAAAAAAGGAGCCAGAGGCTATGCTAGTTGAGGATTGGACATGTATAGTTTCTTTTTGCCTTGACTATTAAAATGTCATGAAGTTATATTAGTCATTATAAACCTTTTCAATTGATCTAGAACTTCTGTGGGACATACCCAGTACAAAATTAGTGTAGACCCATTAAGGCTGTTTGGAGAGAGATGACAGAGTCCTTGGAGTAGCTTTTTTTTGGAATGGGTAGGTAAAGAGTCAGATCTGGATTAGGCCACTTAACACCATCTTGTTGGGTGATGAACTTCTCTGCTACTGCTCTGGGAATGCATTCTTGACCATAGTACTCTGTCTCGTTTTGTTTTATAAAAGCCCGAGATGATTGTTTCTAGGATAAAACACAAACTCCTTTGTTGGCACTTAAGCCTACCTTTTCATATATTACTCCTTATTACACATTACTTCTTTTCATGAGCTCTGTGGTCTAGCCAAACTCTCTTATTATAATACTCCACCTCTAGTCTCACTAGCCTTGGCCTAGGGCTAGGCTGTCCCCTGTGCCTGGAATGATTCCTTCTTCACCTCTGTCTCTTGGAATCCCCCCTCACTTCTTTCAAAGTGCAACCTGAATGCCAGTTACATGAGGCATTTCCTGATCCCTCCAGCCATTAGTGCCTTCCTCCTCCCACGTGACTTTTTATTTTATATCTGTTTTTATGTGTCCATGTTTTTCTGTAGATAGAATGAAAGTTCCTTGAGGACAAGGACTGTTTCATTTTTGTCTTTCTATCCCCAGAGCCTGGCACATAGTAGGTGCTTAATAATGGTTTATTGATTTCTTTCCCATAATCATCTTGGGTACCATTGGAAAATTTTTTGTCATTTCTGATAAATCTGTTGAATTAAAATTCTCTCCTCATCTTTCCCTTTTTAATTTTTCAGATCTTCAAAACTGCTGCGAGCGTTCTATGTTCCTTTCCTGTCAGAAAAGCATACAGTGTATGTAAATTACACCATTCTCAAACCCCGGAAAGGAAAGCAAGCCAGGAAGAAAGCTGGTGGTTAACAGCACACCTGTGGTCCCAGAAGACCAGCCATTGCTGCTCACTAGTGGCTCCACAGCATCATTTCCTCCAATCATCACTTGTAACATTCACAATAAAGATTTTCCAACAAGAATACTGGAATCCAGGTGCCTCAGGCTATTCAAAGTTAATTCCATACTCTCAGTTCTTGCCTGGATCTCTGTTCTGCTTCTAGAGTCCTGTGAACTGGAGCAGTGGGGGTTATGGCAGTGGAAGACTTCTCCTATGATACCTGTAAACCTATTTTCTTCTGTTCAGTTTATTTATGAGACTGAAAAAAGAATAGAGCTAACTATAAGGAAGACTGGGAAAGCTGTGGACTGGTCGGCTCTGTTCAGCGGTTCTCTCCTGCCCCTGTTGAGCATCAGAGAAATCCTCAGCAATTCTTCTGCCTCTGGGGCTTCTCTGCCCATGGCTGCTTGGCGTCTCCTTGGCATCTCCTAGCACTTTTCCTTGTGCTTATTCTCAGCAGTGGAATTTGAACAACCAAATATCTATCCACAGATCTTTGATCCCCCCAGCAAAACCCAACTTCTGTTAAGTACTTCACAAGACCAGGATATCTGTCCTAGAGATGTAGCTCATGAAGGAGGCAAACTTTTGTGGAACTGTGACCTAATTTTTATTCTTTTATAATTACCTATAAGTTCCATTCTTTCATTTCCTTTTTAAAGTGTGAATTTATGGAGTTTCTATAAGTTGAAGCAGTGTACATTCCCTTGAATGATAAGTGAGTGGGGAATATTTGGGGAAAAGTGCCTACTTTTAATTCTCTGGATGATGTCATTGTTTCAAGAAATGTATTTTGTAGAATCCATAGCAGACTCTGGAGGAAGTGATGGGGAGACAAAGTTTCTAGCAGACTCTGAGAGAAAGAAAAAGGACATAACTGAAGAGAGCATGGGGGAAGGAAGGGCGGGGAAGTGTGAAGAAGCGGAGGCCAGAAGTGAGTTTTCAGTGCATCTTTAGCAATTCCATTGGGAAGCAAATCTTTCAGGGTGCTTTGGTGGTATAGCAAAGACAGTACCTGTATATGGCACTCAGACAAGCAGGACCAGAAAATCAGAAAGAGCCAGATGACTGGTTGGAGTGGTTTTCAACCCAAATACGAAAACATGACCTGAAAGACTTAGATAGGAGAGGTGCAGATGAAGGATGGAACTTTGCATTTTAAGAAGGTGACTTTATTGGGGTCTGAGTTTGGGTGTGGTTGTCCATGACTCAGACTACTGGGACAAAACTATTCCTTCCAGGCTGAATTCATGGTGTGTGGGAGTATCTGTTTTGGTATTGTTTGAGCAGCTCCCTCTATGGCTATGGACTCCCCCGTCTCAGGAGAACAAAGAGTACATTGTTGAGACAGATTCCTCTGCTGGGCCCCACACGGGTCAATGTCAGTACTGTTCCTAAACATTTAGGTTTAAATAAGGTGCCAAAAATCTTTAAGAATGATGGTTTCTAGTATCTACTAGTGAGGTAAATTAATTTCCTGAAATTTCCATCCCACATGACTTCTCAGCAGGACTAAACCTAGGAGAGGAAAAGAGAGCTGATGAAAAAAGGAATAATTGGTTGCTTACTTCTGTCTGAGACAAAGCAGAAGCATTAAGAAGCAATCGGTCTGGATAGAAGAACAGACAAGATACATAAGTGATATGAAAGGAATTGAGTGTAGGTTCCCTTTAGGTGCTTCTGAGGCTCTTGACCTTAAATTTCTTTGTCCACGCTGGCATCATACCAGCCTGGCCAAGAGCTAAAAACATCAGGACCTTGAAGCAAGGCCTCTTGCCTTCTGCCAACATTACTGAAAGGGTTAATGGATTGGATACTGATAGATGCCACTTAGCTAGATGCAGTATAGACCTTGCAGCACTTATATAACAATGCAGACTTAGGCATTTGCTAGTAAGTTAAGCAGTTCACAGTGAGGAATTAAATTGAAAAAGCACAAACATATTATATTGATGTTTCATCTTTGCCAAGAGATAACCCTCAGTTCTCAAAGGTCATGTTCACATGTCCAAGTTCCTGCAGGGACTCCTAGCTAAGAAAGTATGGGCCTAACAGCAGACTGAGTGCATCATCTGAAAAGCAATTTATCTCAATTAGAGGAGCTTATCATCAGAAGTCACAAGGGGGTCAATTTGAGGAGGCCATATTTATAAAGATGATTTATTAAGGTATAGAGTGGTTTTAGTCTGCATTGATGAAGTATAAAACACAAAAAGCCTAATCCAGGACATGCATCAGAAACATCAGGCCCCCCCCTTTTGATAATGTTCATTTTCCTCTGCAGTAGGTCCATTAAGACAATCAAGCCAACAAATATTGAGCACCTGCTGTGTGCAAGGTACAGTGCTAGAGGTACCTGATGTAAGGGGAGACAAAGAAGTTTAAAAGAGTTCTTGGCTTCAAGGAGCTTGTAACCTAAATGGGCTATACAGCACAAATAAAGGAAAGGCAGCTACGTCTTTGTAACAGGTTTGTAGGGAGAAGTGTGGCAGGAACCAGAGTGAGTAGCATTCCTAAAACAGAACCAACCTCCAGCAGAATGGTGACTGCCCTTTTGGGGTGGCTGGTCCATTCATTGTGCTGACAAAAAAAAAAAGCCTGTTTCTGTAGATTGGGTATTATTATTGCATTGGAGGGGACTGTTGTACATAACTGAAGAGAAGGTTTTTGATTTTGTTTAATGTTTTTTGATTGAGGACTATTAGATATGAGAACCTGTTCCTGATGGATGAATTGGCTCTTTGCACAAAAGTCCTTTGACCGCCTAATTTTAACTTCTGTCTTTGTGGCTTAGAGCAACATTGTTGCACCTATATTCAATGCCTATTTTATATCCAGTAGATTTAATCTGGTGTGAAAGCATTCACATCATTTAATTAATTTATTTTTTAAAGTTTTATTGATGTCTTTTGTTTTTACCATATCATTTCTGTGTATCCTCCTCTACTCTCCCATTCCCCCTTTGTTCTTTTTTTATTTGTTTGTTTTTTTGAGGCAATGGAGTGAAGTGACTTACCCAGGGTCACACAGCTAGTAAGTGTCAAGTGTCTGAGTTCACATTTGAACTCAGGTCTTCCTGAATCCAGGACCAGCGTTCCATCCACTTCACCATCTAGGTGCCCTTCCCCCCTTTGTTCTTTGAAACAAAAGAAAGAGCTCATCAAAACCACCTGAGACCATGTTGGACTATGTATGCAACATTTTATACCCACATTCCTCTACCTTTCCAATGAAAAGTTTGAGATGTATCTCTTCATCTTTTCTCCAGAGCTAAGACTGATTGTTACAATTACACTCTGCCCCTGTGGCTTCTTCGTCTAACTGAATGATTCCTCCCAGAACTTCCATTTTAAGAAAAGTGCCCAGGCTAAGTATGTCTTCATTCCTTTCCAGGTTCTACTCCAGAATCCATCCTGCCTTGTGGGTGTCTTATCTCTACCCTTCCTCCCCATTCTTTCAACCTCCTTTTATGTGTTGTCTTCCCCCATCAGAATGTAAACTCTTTGAGGGACTGTCTTTCTTTTTGCTTATATTGGTATTTTCAGAACTTAGCATGGTGCTTGGCACATAGTAAGTGCTTAATAAGTTATTGTTAATTTGGCTTGACGTTAACATCCAACTTTATTTAATGTTCTTTTATTTATATAAGTATAGTAATGTAAACTACTTTTCTGGTTCTACTTATTTTACTCTCCATCAATTCTTACAAATCTTTCTGTGTTTCTCTGAATTCCTCATATTTGTCATTTCTTATGGTGCAATAACATTCCATTATACTGATATATTAAATGGTTGTTCAACCATTCCCCAGTTGACGAGCATTGACTTTGTGTTCAGTTTTTTGCAACCACAAAAAATTCTGCCACGAATATTTTGGCATATATGAGACCACTCAGTTTTGTCTTTATTTTCCTTGGGGTATTTGCCTGGAAATGCGATCTCTGGGTCATTTTTATCAAAAAATTCCAAATTGTTTTCCAGCACAGTTGGGCCAATCTCACAATTCTAGCAATTGTGCATTAGGGTGCCTGTCTTCCCAGAGTCCCTTCCATAATTGACATTTCCATCCTATATTATTTTTGCCAAATTGCTAGGTATGAAGTGAAACTTCAAAGTTGTTTTAATTTTCATTTTCTTAGTGATTTGGAACATGGTTGTTGTTAACTTGGATTTCTGTTTTTGAAAGCTGTTCATCTCCTCTGACCATTACTAGTAAGAGAAATAATTTTAACCTTTTGGAATATTCATAGGTAATGGATATTCCCACCATAAGTATCCTGCCATATTTATGCTTAACTGAACACTAAAGTTAGAAGCAAACACTTTCATTTTAAAAACCAAGGTGGTATCTCCGGAATTTAGCTGAGTCACTTTTCCCAGATACAAAGACTTGGGAAAGGGATAAGTCTTTGAGTTCTACACAATCCTTATAACCATAGATTCTTTGCACTTGAAGAGATGTTAAAGATGTTCTATTCCAAGGTCCTCATTTTATAGCAGAGAAAATTAAAACCAAGTGAGGGTCTAAGTGACTTGCCAGTGTCCCACACCTCAGCAGACCTCAGATTACAGCCCAAAGCTTTAGCCACCCAAACTAGTACCCTTTCCATTATATTATACTTCTCCTAGGGATGAATGGAAAAGCATCTTGAAGACTAGCACAACTATGGGGGTGGAAGGTCATTGGTAAGAAACCTCCTGGGGAAACACGTGGTGCTCAGCTGTGCATTTAATTCGAGTACAATGGTGAGGATTTGTGTGGGGCTTAAAGTAATCAGATTGGCATTAGGCAACTCCAATTCTCATGTCATATTCTCATAATCATAATTTGTTGGGTTTTTTTCCCCCAGCACAGGAGAGAGAAAGAGAGAGGGAGAAAGTTTAATCTGACAGTCCCCTCCACTGACACTTTAAAAGTCTATATCTTGCTATATTCTTATGCTCTTCCACTAAATGTCTTGAGTAAATGGATTGAATTAATGTTATTTGGTGGGTTCAAATAGACAGGTCTAGCTTTAATCTTTTGTAATAGACAGGCATCTTCTGTACAGTATCATTGGATTTCAGAGGCCCTCTGGTATG